AATCAAAATGATCCTGAGATTTCACTTTACACCCATCAGAATGGTTAAGATAAAAAAACTCTAGTGACAATAAATGCTGGACATGATGTGCAGAAAGGGGAACCCTCCTCCACTGCTGGTGGGAATTTAAACTTGTGCAACAACTTTGGAAATCAATCTGGTGCTTTCTCAGACAATTAGGAATAGTGCTACCTCAAGATCCAGCTATACCACTCCTAGGCATATATCTAAAATATGTTCAAGTATACAACAAGGACATTTGCTCTACCATGTTCGTAGAAGCTTTATTCATAATAGCCAGAATCTGAAAACAACCCAGATGTCCCTCCACTGAGGAATGGATATAGAAATTGTGGTACCTTTACACAATGGAATATGACTCAGCAATTATAAAAACACAAGGAAATCATGAAATTTGTGATCATCCCGAGTAAGGTATCCAAGAAGCAGAAAGACACACATGGTATATACTCACGTATAAGTGGATATTAGACATACAATATAGGATAAACTCTAAATTTTGTATAGCTAAAGAAGATAAGCAAGAAGGAGGACCCTAGGTAAGATGATCAATCCTCACTCAGAAAAGCAAATGGGATGGACATAGGAAGAGAGAGAAAACAGGGAACAGGACAGAAGTCTACCACAGAGGGCTTCTGAAAGACTCTACCCAGAAGGGTATCAAAGCAGATGCAGAGACTCATTGCCAAACTTTGGGCAGAGTGCAGGGAATCTTATGAAAGAAGAGAGAGATAGACATGGAGGAGACAGGACCTCTACAAGGAGAGCAACAGAACCAAAAAATATGGGCACAGGTGTCTTTTCTGAGACTGGTACTCCAACCAAGGACCATGCATGGAGATAACATAAAACCCTTGCACAGACATAGCCCATGGAAACTCAGTCTCCAAATGGGCCCCTAGTAATGGGAACAGATGCTTTCTCTGACATGAACTCAGTGGCTGGCTCTTTAATCACCATCCCCTGAGAGGGGAGTGGGGAGTAACCTTACCTGGCCACAGAGGAAGACAATGCAGCCAGTCCTGATGAGACCCAATAGGCTAGGGTCAGAGGGAAGGGGAGGAGGACCTCCCTTATCAGTGAACTTGGAGAGGAGTATGGGAGTAGAAGAGGGAGAGAGGGAGGTGACGAGGGATGGGGCTACAGCTGGGATAAAAAGTGAATAAACTGTAATTACTAAAAAAGTAAATAAAAAAGGAAAAACAAAGTGAATAAACTGTAAATTAATAAAAAAATAAATAAATTTTAAACAGTTATGAACTCAGTGGCTGGCTCTTTGACCACCACCAGCGTGAGGGAGGAGCAGCCTTGCTAGGCTACAGAAGAGGACATTGCAGCCAGTCCTGATGAGACCTAATAAACTAGGGTCAGATGGAAGGGGAGGTGTTCCTTCCCTATTGGTGGACTTGGAGAGGGCCATGGGAGGAGATGAGAAAGGGTGGGTGGGATTGGGAGAGAATGAGGGAGTGTCCTACAGCTGGGATGCAAAGCAAATAAAATGTAATTAATGAAAAATTTAATTAAAAAATAAAAATTTAAAGTTACATTTATTTAGTTTGGGTGTGTGTATGTATATATATGTATGTATGTATAGGCATACATTTGTCATGGCTTATGTGTGGAAGTCCTAAGACAACTTGTATGACTTGGTTCTCTCCTTTCATCAGGTGGGGTCCATGGACCAAAACTTAGGACATCTGTCTTTCTGGCTAATACTTTTACCTACCACAGCATCTCACCACTACTGTAGTACCGTTATACTACCATCTTGTCGTGGGCTCAAGTGCTCAAGTATGAGTTTTTATTTCAACTACTATATTTTCATTTTGGAAGGAGAAAAACATATATTTATAACCAGCTGTGACCACTGCTGCTTCTGCCGCTGCTGATTAATTGATGAAGATGTTGATTATCAGGGAGAGGTGATGATTTTCACAATGTGACTAAAGATGAGAGAGTAATAGTTGTCCCTCTTACTTTGCACCTATTGCTTTTGGTGCCCCCTTTTGGTTGCATGTTTTATCCTTGCTCAGATAGTACCCTGAAATCAAAGGCTACCTTAGTGACCTTGCCTAGTCCTTATGCTTTCCAGAGTTGGAAACTGTGTGGATCGTTATCTAGAACAAGGTCGTCTAGCATAAAGAGAAAGTTCTCCTGGATAATGATTTTTGACCATCTTCTCTTCTTATCTGACTTGGACCTCTGAGCTTTAGACGGTTTCTTTGAAGTCAACCATTCCCCACCATTTGTGCAGATGATGTCAGGTGTAGGGGTGCAGCTTGAATCTTTTGGGAGTTTGACATCATGCCACGTACCCTATAAGAGTTTTCATTTACAGTTTTTGTTACCAGTGCTCACTTCAGTTTTTCAATTTGTTGTATTGTTTGCCTCACACCTGTCACTGAACATTGCAATTTCAAATTTTGATGCATGGTAGGCATAACAACTGCAGAATCTGACAATTTTTCTGACATAAACTATAACTTAGTTCAATTCATTCCTTTTCTTGGACATTAGAAGTTCTTGTAATTGTTCTAACATTATAAATAACATTAAATATATTTTTTTCACTGCTGTGAATGTATTATTAGCTACTTCTTTTCCAGTCCTCCTCTTTTTAAAAATTTCCCCAGTATTTGAAAGAGTTAAAGTAGCTTCCTGAAGCTCTTTCAGTTCTGGGAGAACCAGGCTCCTTGTGTCTGATTCATTTTGTGTGTGGGAGGTATGCTGTTCTAACCTTGTCACTGACAGGAAAGTTCAGACTCGTCTTATACTGCACAGAAGATGTCTGTCCTTGCAGCTTTCTGTGACTGAAGTAGAGCCATCAGACAATGATTTGTATATGCTCCTCTGTCACCACGATGGTGCTTGATGGTGCCATTCCTGCCTTGGACTGAATCTGTAATTTCCTTTCTTCATCCAGTCTGTTTTTTTTTTTTAAAGGCAGAATTATTTAGATGGTACAGTGCTCCAGATTCATCCTGCCCATGTTTGATTGTTCTATCACCTAGTGCAACAGAAGCGATGCAATGAAGGAAAATATTTGTCTTATTATTTGACCAAAATGAGTGCATAGAGAAGACAGTTTTAGTGTTAGATACACTGATAGCAGATCGGTAAGCAGTGTCTGAGAATAGGTTAGTGAGTCATCATGGGAGGAAAGGAACGTTTGGTTTTAAGGGAGGATGCAGGCAGGGAAAGGATGCCCACTTTTTCTGTAGGTCAGAGATCCACACTGCAGGGAGTAAAAGAAAAACACATGTTACAGGTTTCCTTTCTGTTCCAGTGTGTCCTTATGTATGGCGCGGTTTCAGGTTTTCCTTACTCTCTTTGCTTCGTGTCCGGTTGTCCTTACCAACTGTTTATTCTGTGGAGTGACAAATTTTGGGACAAATACAACGTGCAGGGGCAAGAACCTTATGTGGACTTCCTCAGTTATGTAAGGGCTGTTTCTTATAACCAATCTCTATGAATAAAAACAAATGACAAAAGGATATTAGCATTCATTTAAATCAGTATCCACCCCACAAGTAAAACTCATCTATGGTGTGCAAAGGGGAATGATTTCTGCTTGAACTTTGTCCATAAATTGAAGATCTTTATTTCATCAGAGAGATCCTTTATTCTTAGAGACTTATGAAATATTTTACTCGATGTGCTTGTGGACATTTGTAATTCCTACACTCAGGTGGCAGATGGAGTATTAATTCAAGACCAGGCTTGGCAAGGTTCTGTCTTTACAAACAATGCCTGTGCTTATCTTTTCTTGAATTCATACCTGGTTTTACTGGCTTCTTTGGGAATCAAAGTATACTATTGTATGAGGTTTCTCTGTGATATAGAGACACATGTATTTTCAGTCTTTTTATAAAGCACAGTGGCTGAAATATTGTGCCATCATTTTTGAGAGTTACATTTAAATTGGTCATTTTATTAGACTTTGTTATAGGCTATGTGTCTTTAACAGAAATATAGTTTTTAAAAATACACAGAAGCTTATAATTCACATAAGAGTGAATGAATGATTATAGCATGAATGTTGTGAATGAAATTGGGAGAACTAAAAATTAGAAAAATGTTTTCAATATACTACATAGCATTGGGCCTGTATGTATACTTCTTTTATACACAGCTGTCTGACCACATCTTAAACATCTGCACCACCTAGGCATCATCTGGGCACAATTTGAAAGTTTATTTGAGATGTTATCATACTTTTTAGTTTTTATTAACCTTTTCTCATGTTAGCTATATACAGAAAGTTGTTTTGGTAATCATTTTTAGTGACATGATTTATCTTTTTAATAGAAAGCAATTACTTAGTACTCAATCTTATTTCTTATTCAAATTATATACAGTCAATGTAGCCACCTTCTAAAGATACAAGAATAAAGACCTGCGGTGCTACAGAGAAGGCTTGGTGGGTAAAAGTGATTGCTGAACATGCATGATGATTTGAGTTCAAATCTCCAGTACTCATGTAAAGCTGGACCTATAGAGTAAGCACCTGTAATCTGAGGGCTTCTTCTAGATAAGACTGGAGATAGAGACACACACACATTTATATGCTTTGTATTTTCTCTTTTTTATAAAGTTTAGATTTTAGGTGATCAAGTTTGTATACAAAATATAGAAGGACACACACTATTTACACTATATATGTTTCTTTCAGTGGACAATAAACTTCCATATTTTTTTCTGCTTTTGCCAAGTGTGTATTCATAAGCAATACATTTTTCAGTTTGCTAATTTGGGTCTTAGTTTCATACTACTATGTTTTCTGTGTTCTACAGATGGCTGCTTCTGCCCAGTATTATCTTTTTGTGATATATCTATGTGGGTGGGTATAGTGTGGCTGGCTCATTTATGTTTACAATGTAATGTGTGTATGTATTATAATTTATTCAATTCACTGTTGATACACAATTAGATTATTTCTAGTTTTGGACTTTTTGTTTGTTTCCTTTCATCTATTACAGAAAATGCTGCTAGGGGTATTTTTCCTCTTGTTAAATGGTATGCAGATGCAAGAGCCTTCTGTGAGTCCAAACCTGAAGGTGCTGCTTAGTAAGGTATGCGAGTCTTCAGTAGAAGTGGGTCTTAAATAGATTATATCCATAACACACAAATGTTCTCCTCACTCTCTATCAAAGCATAGTTGGTTTTGTTAAGTGTTTCATGTTTTACAGCTATGATATGTCCTGTGCTTCATGGTGTTTTTAATTTGCAAATCCAGCTACTAAAGACTGAATATTTCCAGTTACTTGTGGACATTTGTTCCTTCTTCCACCTCCTTCTCTTGGGTCTCAAGTTGCCTGGGCTTGCTCCAGTCTCCCCGTGCAGGGAAGCTGGCCTGGAACACCTGCTGCTTTTGCCTCTACACCCTGACTACTGGATTACAGACATGCATTACTACCTCTGGCTTTAGACTTAAGTTTTAGATTTATTTATTTTTTGTGTATTGCTGTTTTGCATGCATGTATATCTCTGTGCACCACATGTGTGCATTGTGCAGTGTTTGTGGAGGCCAGAAGAGGACAGAACGTACTCTGGGACTGCACTTCCAGATGGTTGTGAGCTACTATTAGAGCGCTGGGAATTGAACCCAGCTCCTCTGAAGCTGTTAACCACTGAGTGATTTCTCAGTCTGCTCCGCGATTAATATTCTTGATGCTGATAATTACTGATAAAATATTACAAATACGTTATAATAACAGACTTTTTACTTAATATTTTTATAAAATATGTTCTTGATTTTAGTATAATGGAACACATCAACTTTTTGCTTTCAGTCAGTACATTTGGAATATTGGATTTTATTTAAAAATATCTTCTTCACTCTGAAGGTATGAATGATATTTTTTCTAATATGTTTGAAAAGGCTTATTGCTTTGCCTTCAATTACAAGTGGCTTTAAATGTATAATGTTTAAAACTATACAGGAATTACAGAATAAATTTTAAAATTTATAATATATAATATTTTATAATTCATAATATGTGTTATAAATTATAAAATATATAGCATGTATACATATATATATGTATATATGAGGTTTTCAGATATTTGAAATATTTTATTATTTTAAAGTACTTTATTTATCTTCATTGTATATGTGTGTATTATATGTGTATGTGTGCATTTGCCACTATGCATACGTGTAGATCAGATGACACCTCTGTGCAATCAGTGCCCACTTTCCACCATTAGTGTACTCTGTGGATTGCAGTTGGCCTTCCAAGTACTTTCACCTGCTGAGTGATCTCTTGAGCCTGGTTGCAAGTTGCTTTTTCAACTTTACATAGTTTTAAAGTTTCACCTCTTACAGTAAGTCTGTGATCCATTTTGATTCTTTTTGTGTAGGATTTAAGAAATGGGGTCCAGTTTCATTATTGTGAAAGTGGATGTCCAGTTATTCCAGGAACATTTGTTACAAAGATATTTTTTCCTCACCTATTTATCTGAATTCTAGTTGAAGTAAATGGATTTCAAACATAAGCTTTTATTTCTTCACCTTTCTTTTTAATTAATTACTATAGCTTTCTTGCAAGTTTGAAAATAGTAATTGTAAACCCACTATTTTCTTAGTTTCTCTCCTTCTCCTCCTCCTCCTCCTTTTGAGAGGTAGAGAGTAGACACTGGAGATTAAACTCAGTGCCTGTACATGCCAGGCAAGTCCTCTATAGGAGAGATACATTCCTAACATCATGTAGATGCTCCTTTCATATTGGTAGTAGTGTATGCTTGGGAGTTCTCACAGGAATATTAGCAAGGATTTTTAATAAGGATTGTACTGTATCTATAGATCAATTTGGAGATTATAACCTTCTTATAATATTTAACCTTATGATTAATAATCATGAGTTTCTTTTCATTTATTTCATTACCTAATTCATTTCAATGTTTTATAATTTGTAGGTTATAAATTTGTATTTATTTTATGTTAATGTTCTCACAATTGTTTCATTTCTGTGCAATTTATTATAAACAGAAATATTTAGCTTTCTTTCTTCTTTCTTTCTTCTTTCTTTCTTTCTTTCTTTCTTTCTTTCTTTCTTTCTTTCTTTCTTTCTTTCTTTCTTTCTAGATAGAGTGTCACAGAGGTTGTCTTTGAACTAGGTACATAGCTGAAGCTGATCCTAAGCTCCTGATATTCCTGATTCCTTCTAAGTATGAGGAATAAAGATGTGAGTTAGCAAGCTGAATATATACTAACTTCATTCTTGTTTTTGTTCTGTGTTAGTTTATGTAACTATAATTGATTTTTTTTAAGACAAGTTCTCACCATGTAGCCCAAGTTAACCTGTTAGATCAGGCTGGCCTCAGTCTCTTAGTTTTCTTACCTCAGCTTCCCTAGTACTGGGATTATACCACCACTATGCCTGGCTTTGTGATACTTTTCTAACTTAATTTCTGCTTTCTGTCTGTCCTGTTTTCTGAGTTACTTATGATCCTACCTTACCTATCCAAGTAAGAACCATGAGTCAGAAGTCCTGTGAACCCAGCCTATGCCAGTTGCAGAGTACTAATATGGGGGCCTACATTAAGTACTGCATGTAAAAGGCACTGGGAGCATTATGGGTGAAATTCAGGCTGATGGAGCCAGAAGGATGAGCAGATATACACTCTAGGAGTTCAGCTTACTGGTGAGTTCAGAGGTGCGTTATGGGAGTCTCATTTAGAGTAATTTCATTGTAGGCATTTAGTTTTATCTATTTTATAATGAAGACCCTGGGATTTCACAAACTTTTGATCAGGAAACATCATGTTTGGAGAATTGTCATTGCCCATGGCTTTAGTCAGAACAGCTGTGTCCCATCAATTCCTGTGAGTATGCCTGCTGGGAAACTTTTCCTAAAGTTTGCAAAGGAGAAAAGAGGTTCTGCAAGGAAAATCAGATGTACCCTTTAGTGTGAAAGTGACATGGTGCAGGAGGTGGGTCTGGTTCATGTCCATTCAGGTAAAATGAGCAATCCATAATAATTATTTGGCTTGGAAATGTTTGTAAGAAGTTATTGTTTAGCTCTGTGGATTCATACCTATGTGTACAGAGCAGTACAGTATTTTTGTGTACCATATAGATGAGGGAATCAGTGGCTGCAGTGATCTGCATTCACCACATTATACGGCTCTTTGCAGAACTTACAGAAAAAGCAGTATTTGTAACTATTGTTTCAACTTTCCTGAAACTGAAAAACTATGTTAAACCTGTTGAGTTTTCTTCCTCATCTGGACATGTTGAAGAACAATTTTCCTAAATTAAATTAGATAACCATTATATTTAGAAAACTTTTTGTTTGTTTGTTTCTGTGAGTTGGTATTTTATTCATGGATTCTTTACTTGCCTAACAGAGAAAATTATTTAGGTAAAATATTGAAGATGTCTTAGAATTTTTTTTTTTTTTTTTTTTTTTACAGTTTGCTACAATAATTTCTTTTTAGACAAATTGTTTGTGTGATGGGGAGGAAAAAGGGAAGGGAGAAAAATGAAGGAGGGAGAGAGGGGGTGGATGGGGGGATGCTAACCTGCTATAGGTTGTAAGTCTGTCTTCTCTGTCTTCTTTAGATACTTATACAGTAGGTATTGCCCCCCCCCCGCCCCAGTCAGTTCAGAATGGGGAAAAAACAAATAAGCCTTTATTTCCAAAGCATTTGTACTTCTCTGGGCATTTGCCAGGCTGTGGTGGCTCTTGTTTCACTTCTGACCTCTTCATTGCTTTTCTATCGCTCCTTCCTCTCAACTGTTCCCTTTTGAGTCATAGATACAAAGAATTTCCATGTGCTGTCCTGGCCCTGTCCTGCTGTGTGAAAAGTATAGTACATGCAAGCAGTGACTCTGGTTTACTTTACATTAAACAACATTTACTTACTCAGTTAAAACTTTGTCTAGTTAGCTTTTTTATTTTATTTTATTTTTTTAATTTCGGGGATTTGATGTAGTTCCTTACAAACAATAGGTAAGATGCTATGCACCTAGCATCCTTTGTTTCTTTTTATTTTGAGTCAGGGCCTTGCTAAGCTAGCTGGGCTGGATATGAGATTGTTATCCCTATAGCCCAGGTTCCAGGGATGCTGGGATCACAGGTATGCATTATCAACTCAGCCCTCATAGCTTTAGATTTGAGCATATCTTTTTAAATTTTTTTTTATAATAAAAATTGACAGAGACAGTTTGCTGCCTGAACAGCCACCCAAAACTCTCTGTAATGTTGGAACATAATCTTCAGCCTTCTGGCCCTGTACCTTCGACAGACATGTATGTGAAGCAGGAACTATTTAGGACTTGCTAACCCTTTCTTGGCAGAGTTTGGCAGTTGACTTGGCCTGCATTTAAGCTTGCCCATTTTATGCAGAATTATCTCTGTTGTAAAGTGAGGGGAATTTTTTCCCCAGGTGGCTGGTTTGCTACATTTGAAGCCATGCCCAAATGGAGGTTCTTTGATGCTCATCATCTTCTTTGAGGTAGGCTGGGTATATGGCATGTCTCATTGTGAAAGAATTCTTAAACTAATGAAAGCATTTTAAGGTCTCTGAAGTTTTTGAAGACTATTTAACTCTGTATAATCTATAGAGTCATATCTATCTGTTAAACATAGGATGTATATTTCTGTGATAAATTAGATAAATTAGATAAATAGACTAGCGTCTGACATGACCATAAGTTGATTAACAATTAACTTGCATTACCTAATATCCTAAATAATTTGTAATTGCAGTTTTAAAAGTATTTGAAGTAAAACTTAAATTTGTATCAATATATCAAAATTTATACCAATGTAACAAAAATACTTGTTTTTGCATCAATATATAAAATCCTATACAAATGAGTTAAAAATAAACTTATTTGAGAATAACAAATAAAGCCTTAAGTTGAGGAACAGAAAAAAAAATTTTTATTTTATATAAGTTTATTTACTTTACATTCCAAGGGTGCTCCCTCCCTCCTCATCTTCCAATCCCCTCTCCTTTCCGCTTTTCTTCTCCTTTTCCCCCCATATCAGCCCTCCCCAGCACATCAAGTCACATCAGGACTGAGCATATCCTCATCCACCGAGGCCAGGCAAAGCAGTCC